CAACCAATCACCAGTGAGGCCCAGTCTGTCGTAACCAATCACTGGACACACAAAGTTCATCCACTTCCTGTAACACTAACCTAACATTCCAGCAGGTAAACTATGGCAGTCGCCTCTAAATGGACAATTAGCCAAGATTAAAGGCAGGCTCCTCGTCTTTCTCCATTAACTTAATTAGGAGGAAAAGACATCTCGAATGACCCCCTGATCTTTCCAGCCTTCCCTCCCATTCTCATTCTTCTCTCTCTGCAGCGTCTTTTCCCCTGGCTTAACTCTTATATTGTATTTACAGTAACTGTGGAGAGTTAAGACCACACTTTCACATCTGGGAGAATCACTGAAGCATTTGGAGATAAACTGCTTCACACAAGAGTAACCTAATGGTGCTGAAGAAAATATCTCATTACCATCCAGTCATCAGTGCAGGGATTTAAAGTGGGACCCTTCCATGCCATGATTTGTTGATCATTAGAGTCATCCGGGCGATTTTTCTCTCTTTTAACCTTGCTTCATTGAATTTTACTCTTCCACAGCTCTGGTTTCCCCCCTCTTGTTTAGCTAAACCTTTATAGGTATTTTTGTAATGCAAATTGGTAAACACCCAGTGAACATGTAGGGATGAAGCATTCTGAAGGACAAGTGGATTGGATAAAATTCCTTACCGGCCTCCCTCTGGACATAAACTAAGTTTCCTTCTTTCTATTAAGCCTCCAAAAGATCCTTTTAGTCTGAATGTTTGGCTGCTGATATCCTGCTGTAATGCAGTTTATGGGGTGCAGTAAGGAGAATGACGGAGCCCAGCAGCAGTGCTCCGTCAGCAGAGAGCAGAATGAAGCTGCTTAACACTGCAGCTGGGATTTTACTTGGATGTGTAGTGTGTTACTATATTTATCTGTTTTTGTTTAGGTGTATCGTAAACAAATGCAAACAATCTATAACACTGGAATGAAAGATAATCATTACAAGCTTCATGTTGACGCATGCTAACCAACTATAATCTGACAGCTAGATTCTATCCCCAGCTAAACCTTTAGTTTATTTCTTGCTTGATTCATTTTTGTTTTATTGCAGACACAAATTTAATACAATCTTGTCTTTGTAAATTTGCAGTGAACATTCATTTTAAAGCACATCTTTTCTGGTTGCTTATGTGATAAAGTGATGTAATTTATGAACTTTAGCTTTGCCACACTGTGTCCAAAAATACTGTTTAGAAATAGCACAAGCAGAAGAGATTTATAGTCTGCTGACTAACTCTGTAATATCCATTATATGGCAGGAGCTACATTAAAATTTGCAAAGCTTCTACAGTATTTCACAGTCCATAAGTGTTGAAACATGGTCAAAGATCACCTTCAACACTGTGAAATACTCAGCATCTGAAGCTCTAGGGATTTATTCATGAAGAAAACGGGAAATATCTCTTTAGTATAACATTACTCTCATTTTTCATCTTCTGCCTTATGCAAACCAATCAAGCGTAACCTGAGCTGCTTAAATGGCGGGGGGGGGGGGGGGGGGGGGGGATCCTGTTGCTTCATGAGTAACATGGGCTGTGAGCCAGAGCTAATTCAAGTCCTTTTTATGCGCTAAACAAGCATGCAGCCACACACACAAACTCCCAGAGGAGAAAGCGAAGATAACAGGATGAGGCTCAGTCTGGGTCAGCATTATTAGACAGGAGACCAACAGCCATCAAGTCACTTAACAAAGCAAACCTCCCTGACTCAGTGCAATGTGCATGAGGCACAAAAGCCCTGTAACCAGTAGCTTTCATTTTTCCATTTGAGATATCGTCAATACGTTATATTTCAAACCAAAAATTCATTACACTCTTCGCAAATGTATTTTACTCAGAGCTCGAGCTTACTATGTGCAACCGTGTGTGTCTGTGTGCATGTGCTGTGAGACCGCAGTCTCTGCAAACTGTGGGGGGAAACGACCACAGACTGCACACACTGAAACCCACAGACTCCAGTCCACGATCCATCTCAACCTTCCCATTTATGTTTTCTCTCCCCCCTACCAAGCACCTAGAGGGACCACAGACTCCGCTTCCTTCATCCATCTACAAGAAACCTTTATCTTCCACCAGCATCCCTTCATCCATCCATCTCCCTCCTTTCTCATGACCTCCGTTATATGTGTTGTCCATTAGACTTTGTCAGGCACTCAGCAACAGCACTTAAGGCTAAATTAGAAAAGTTTCCATTAAGAGACAACCTCTTTGATTCATAGTCCTGCAGGATTAAAGACTAGACTAAAAACTATTATCCAGCCTGATACCTCTTATCCGAACCCCTGCACCCTCCTCAAGAGTGAAACGTCTAACCCATGGCTATTTTCACTTAATGCTAGTCCAGCTCCTTCCAACTCCTCCCTTTTCCAAACCTCAGACCACAGAGCTTTAATAGGAGGGTTAAGAGGTAATTCCTATCACACTGCCATCATTTAATATCTAACCAAGGCTGACAGAGAGGAAGGTTACGAACCCAAACCAGAAAGCCACCAGCAAACCTCCGTGTCTCCTCCTCCTTACTCTCCTGCTGTTACTCTCTCTGCAAGTCTCCCACCATCTGACTTTCTCTCTATCCCATAATTCTACCTACATTTCTTCCTCTTTTTGCCCTTCCCTCTTATACACACGCTCTCTTCTACATACCTTGGTGCTTACATTACCACCACTTCCTTAGAAAACACAGCGAGGATGGGAGAAAAAGCACTAAAAAAAGAGGAAAAGTGGAAAGAAAAAAAGTGCCGGAGGAAACTCCAGACACTGTAATTTAGATTGCGCTGATGGCAAAGTAGGGACATAAAGAACATGAGATTTATAATGTTAAGTTTGGAACACGTTCACCCTTTCCACTCTCCTGAGTTGTCTGAGAGCTCTATAGGGATCCATATTCGACCGGTGATAAATAATAGCTTTCGAGAGCAATTAGGGGTTTTATACAGTTGTAAGCCAGGAGGTGGAGGAAATAAGGCTGTCATTCACAAAGAAGAAGGGAAAAGGGTTGAAAAAAATGCCATGTGAAAATGTGCGTGTGATGGAATATTTGTATTCGTCTCCATTTGCATCTGTCACTGTGTGTGTCCCTGGCGTTTATGAGGACTTTTAACTGTGTGTGATCCTGGAAGCCACAGCTGACGTAGATGACAATTTAGCAGTCTACTCTGCCTCAGCAATATATCACACATCACCACAAAAATATGAAACACAAAATATGTCCGTCCAACAAAATATATCACGGTGAGAAACTAAGGAGGAAAACTGAAACTGACAACATTATAAATCACTTTTATTCTGAAAAAGGTAGTACAGAACAAACGTTCTACTGATAAATAAGCATTGATTTAAGCTGATAGCAGTATATTAATTAATACCTGTGTTAACAGTGGCAGAAGCCTGCAGTGGACAAAAGGCATGATGTACTGTGCACGTAATGTTTATTCCAGTCTTTCAGATTGTAAACAGCAAGTCAATCTCCTTATAAAGCTCAACTTTCAGGAATCCATTTTTGAGTATTAAATAGTTGCTGCCTGTAGGTTGATAGGTTGCTGCAAAAGCTTGTAACATTTCTTTGAGTCACAGCGGTTATGGAAGAAAGGGTTTGAACAGTGGACCAACAAATCAAAATGTCATAAAATGTCCACAGAAACTTTCCTGCAACACAATCCACTTCTCCAGTGCCAGCCCAAAATACTTTCAGCAAAGCTTTGGAAGTATGAGGATGTGAATATATGCACTGGAAAAGTACATTTAATTTATTTTGTGGAAAAAAAAAATCAAATTTTTGACATTTCTTTGGACATGTTGATGTTGTGACACTGGAATGGCTCTGGCTCGCTGCTCAAATCCGCTTTAAGTGTTGCAAACCTAAGCTGACCATAGCTGTCATTCTCCGTGAAGGAGGGAGCTCAAAACCTTTCAATCAACATGTTAGTTCTCGCCAGCGAATTTGTAATTGTGGAGTAACAGGAGTATTCCTTTAATTTCTGCTTTTTGGTCAACCTACACTTCAAAAAGGTGAAAAAACATGGAACAAGAATCTTTTGAACAAGGAACTGTTACAGTAGCTTCCAATGGGTTCTGCCTCATGGAAACATTATAAAAGAGAATGAGAGAAGTGAGAAGATTAATGTCCTAGCGCTGGTATTTGTTATCCTAACACCTCTCACCATAGGCATGCACACACATGCTGAACACACATAAACTTGATATGTTGAAACGCAGCATTGATATGACACATGTAACACAAATAAATATCCAGTAGGGTGTACAAACTTATAGACGCACCCAATAATACTTATACACACAATTAAATTCAGGCATGCACCCACACACACACACACACACACTCTAACTCCAAGTTCTCTTGAAAGAAGCCCAATGTAAACAGCTATAAAGTTTAGAAGGTGTTTCAACCTTCAACCTAAGCTGACTATCCTCTCTGAGGATAAAACAAATAGAGAACCTGACAACCTGAGTGGAAAGAAAGAGCACAGATGGGGAGGCAGCATGGATGCACCAATGGGACTAAAACAAAGAGAGAGAGTATGTCTGGGAATGTGAGATGAAAACGAGAGAGGAGGAGGACAAGTGGGAGGCTTTGCTGCATCAGTATGACCTGCTCTTGCACTCTTACACTCTGGGAAAACTCAATATTCCTGAATAAAAATTCCACACGAGTCCAAGCAAAACATTCACTGCAGGCACACTTTCACCTCTTAAAATCAAGCATACTCACACAAACGCACACATCTGACACTCACTGCCTTTTTCAACTCTCGACAGGAGCACAGAGCGGCACTGTGTCACCTGGCGCGAGACCTGAACCCTCAACCAGGATAAAACCTCTGACACCATGGTCGTGTTTTCAAACGGATCACGTAACACATCAAAAGCGGCACAAAAGGGGAAACGGAATGACGGAGGAGAGTCAGAGAGAGATCATGAATGGAGAGAAGATGAAAAAAAAAGAAAATCAAAGTGTACTCACAGTCGTCCTAGTTTGGGATTGGACTGGAAGAGAAGCTCTGGAAGAAACTGGAGCTTGTTTCTGTTCAGACGACTGCAGGGAGAAATAGAATAAGGAAAATGAAGGAAAACATGTCGTTGGGAAGAGAAAAAGGGCAAAAACATCTTCTAATAAATCAGTCGCATCCGCGCTTTTGTGTTGACTGAACAATCACCACACAGCTGACTGAATGACCTTAAAGGTCAGCAAGTTTAAACTCATGGAAAAGCCTCTGACTTCCTGTGATCATGGCCTAGAGGTTATCACACTATGGTTTGTGTATACAGGACATCAGTTTCTACACTCCTTAAAGTGCATTAGCAATATATCCTCACTGCATATGCTTTAACCTGATAGTGTGAGATGGACCAATTTTGGGCTACAAGCATGTTTTAACATAAAGTTACAAACTTACAGAGGATTTATACCGCTGTGTTAAATCTATGCTAGGTGGGTACGTCAGAACTGCAAACTGCTCTGAAATCCTACAAACCTTTGTGTCCTGCACTATTGTGACTGGCCTGTTCAGTACCGTCAATTCCTCCTGTGCATTTCTGGCTACTTTTTAGCTGCAGTTTTTGAATTTATCAGTAAGAGAAATAACAGTCATTTTCTCAATATAAGGACTCACAGATGTTATAATATTTCTGGAGTGGGATTGCCAAAACTCATCCATCGGAATGGATGCGAGGGAATGCAAAGAAAATGAGACAAATATGTTTGCCTCTGAAAAAAACAAAAACATGACCGCAACAAAGAGTGGGGAGGCAAGAGGGGAAAGAAATCCTAGCATTTTATTCATTTTTATCGTGTCTGGCACCTCATATTAAACACCGGGATGCAACCACAAGGTAATTAAAACGCTATACATATTTGTTTAAAATATAATAAATGTGACCAAAGACTTGAACATGTGCATTTACACAGAAACATTTACCTCCACAGAGAGTTATGACCCCGGGAAAAGTAATAACAAGTAATAAAAACAAGTTAAAGGCACCCACATAATTATGACAATCTATAAGTGTTGCTCTCGCATACAGAATGTTTTTACATTCCAATTTTAACCACATCGTTGCTCATATGTTTGATTATTGCCACCTGTGGATGGTTTTATATTCTCGGCAATCTTTTGCAAAACTCTCCGATGCGTCTTCTCAACTATTGTGGGATGAAAATCTTTTTAGTCACACTTTATATGCAAAATAGCATTCCTTATCTTAGTATTTTCATTGGAAAATTAGATAAACACATGACTTTAAATTACAAAGGCCAAAAAGAAAAGAGTGGAAAAATTCAGGTTGATGAACAGAAAGACAGCAGCAGAACGAGGCGTTTTAGGATAAAAGATGTTTCCTTGTGTATGCATGTGTGCAACGAAAGGTGGGGTTGGCTAAAGTAGAGATAACGAAGACAGTGAAAGCTGAGGGAGTGAAAGTGTTATCAGGCTACCAAAGCATTACACTGAGAAACGAGGCGTGGAAGGGAAAGGGGAAAGAAAAGAAGGGTGGAGGGTCGCAGGGTCACAAAGTAGGATCTGTGCTGGAGAAGACACAGACACCAACCTTTTAACCCTGTGATAATGATAATAAGATAGTAGCTTTCACTCCTGTGTACACCAATGGAAAGAATAATTGAGATGCACACCACCTGAAATAAATAAGGGAGAAAATACCTGCTAGTATGTGAGTACAGCACAGCTACTATTACAGCTACGAGTCATTAAAGGACATTTGCTCAGAGCACAGATATAGTTTCAAGAGAATAATTCTTTGTGTATTTTTAAGCATTAATGATGAGGTTTTCTTCCTACTTAGAACCTTTGAAATGACACCAAACCACATGTCTGTGGCATTCATATTTTGGCAAATTATTCCTATTACTCAGAATCACAGAAAAAATGAAAGAGTTTGGAGACTAAACCTTACTAATCATAATGAGCAGGGCTTTATTCTCAAATAAAGAACAAAAGAAATAATTTGAAAAGACACCTCTTAACAAATGCCGTTTATTTTGCAAAATATCCTTCATTTATAACTGAGTAAAGCACAAATGGCTATGAATTCTGGCATTTCAGACTTTCTGAATGCTCTGACCCAAGGGGATGACAAAATAAGCCCCATGTTTTTCACATTGTGACTCCATAAATCACATGGACTCAGCGTCAGGGCCTCTCACCCCTGACCTTTCACCCTGGCAGACACAACATCAGAGACCCTGTCAAGAAAGCATTTTAAAAACCATTTTACTATCAGTAAAGTAAAAAATGCAGGCTCTTGTTATTACCGTTAATCTACTGCAGCAGTTTTTCCCCTCTTTAGAAAGATTCATTTTGGAGAACAAATGTCATCCTCAAACAAGCATAGATATTTAATTTCTGATTTATTAAATGGGCTAAAATGGCATAAAAACATTTGTTGAAATGTCTCGAATAACTGAAATGCTGTCTATGTGAGTTCTGGCAAACAACTGTTAAGACTCCCAACATCCTCCCTCCCCCTCTTCTGTAACCTCTCACCCTTCCTGACACACTGCATTAAAGAGCCTTTTAACATTAAAGTGGGCAGTGACCTTCTGCTTTCACATCATATGTGTGATCTCCATTTAGAGGGAAGATATACACGTCTCTGTCGCTCAGCATATCTGGATTTTAGGAGAGCTCTGCTGACAGCTGCAGTGATCTAATGGTTTTATCTCTCTTCTCCACTCTGCAGCATGTATACTGAAAAATACCATCCATGTGTGAAGTAAATTCCTTCCCATTCTTACTCTCATGAATGATTTTACAACAGACACACATTTGTTAATCAAAATAAATAATGTTGTGGCATTCTTTTTCAGACTGCAAAAGCAATTTGAAAGAAGATAATGACAAATTTACAGTGTTCAGATAAAATTGCATCAATGGTGAAATAAATTGAATGAAGAAATATTCAGCTTATGAATTCAACATTCATTACAAAGCCCGTTCTTGGGTTTAGAAATGCTGTACACAATATTTTTTTATGAGGATGCCACTCCTAAAAAACCTCTAACACTCACATTGTGTCATTCGGTCTTTGTCTCACATAAAGGAATCCTCTTTCTGGAACCTGTCTTCCCATCATCACTCTAACCAGGACTCATAAACATGCAGGTGTGTATGTGTGGGAAGTGTTGTGTTGTACACTAACACCCTGATTCTGTTTCCTAAAGCCTTGGTGTGAGTTGACAGATACACACATTCCTAGGTAGTGTGTGAAGTGGACTTGGATATCAATCAGTTGAAATCTCTGTCAGTGAATATGCTGCACAGAACAGCAAGTAAGGAGCAGAAAATCAAAGGTGTGTACAATTTTGTCAAAGTGGAAAAACAGCAAAAAAGTTTTGTGACAGATCACATTATTATTATGGAGCTCTTTGCATGCATAAAAGACCTATTTCACCTCGCAGTATGGTACCTCTTTTCACATATGCACTATAGGAAGCTGTGTATAATGGCATACTTACAGTCTCTCAAGCAGTCTTAGGTCTTGAAAGGCTCCTCTCTCGATAACAGTGATTTGGTTGTCCTCAAGATGACTGTGGTGACAGGCAATGAAACAGAAAGAAAATATGTTGTAGTTATTTTTGTAACTTTAAAAATGCAAAAGCAAGACACGCAAATATACTCTGTGACTCTTTGTGATCACGACAAGGCAGGAAAAGTCCCAAGTGCCGATCTTTACGTCAGTAACTTTACACAGTTTCATTCGGTCTGTCTTCAAAATGATTCAATTTAAATATCAAATTGTGAGGCACTCGTGGAATTGGGAATGTCCATCTCCAGCCAGAAACAGCAGATAAATGTGTTTTTCTGGCCAGTGCAAACAACTCGAGAGACACTTGCACTTTTAAAAAAGCGGTTACATAAACAAGCAATCAGTGCACTGAACACATGAATCTGGCACCAAACAAACATTTTGTGACACAAAGTATTTCACAAATGTTACAACCTACCACTCCAAAAGAAACAATTAACAAACCATCTCTTTCTCATTCTTCCGTTGATATCTTCTCCATTTCGCTTCAGTCATTTCTGCGGTGCTCTCAGTGTAACCCATATCTCCCCTTCATTGCTTTCTCAGTGTTGTCATGTTTTGGGGGCAAACTAAGGTTTTCCAGATGGGATAGAGAAATGGAGAGAAAACATCTCAACTGATATGTGTGTTTATATTTTCTGTCTGAGGATGTTAGGAGTGACATGTCCTGAGAGGAAGACAGGGAGGAAGAAGCTGAAGGGGGGAAAAAAGTGGATGATGTGAGGAAGAAAAGAAAACATTGAAAAGCAAAGGTGGAGAAAAGTGAAAGGAAGATACAAGCCAGATATAAACAGCAAGATGCAGAATGACAAGCTGGATCAAGTGAGAGACAACCAAAGACAAAAGAAGTCATCTCAAAAAGAGTCCTGTCTGGCCTAACATGTGGACTTTGAATTGTTTTGGCACGCCTCTTCTTTAAATATTCTTTCAAACAAAACGTTTACATATCCAGACATTAATCCATGGCCTGTCATACTGACTCTACACAGAGACACACAGATATGTTGGACTTGGATGAAAGATAACAAGCTCAGACAAACGCACTCGCACATTCATATATATAAAGTATGTAAACATATAAATAAAAAAGTCAGAGCATCTTGAAACACTTTCAAAGAACTGGCGCACCGAGTGATGGTAATTGGCTTATTCTCACAATATTGTTCATTTTGTATAACGAAACATTTTCCAGGAAAAATAACTCTTGATTACAGGGAGCATTTTTTGCTTTATAAAAATGTTTTTCAAAAAAATCATCAGTAATATTTGCTGTTAACTGAAATAAATAAAAAATAGCTCCAGCTTTTGAGCATTCTGAATCAGTTTCTAAACAGAAACACCCCAAACACATACGATAAGGTATGTGTGGAATCGTTTAACGCAGGTAGGGAGTTATGCACTGGTAGCAAGAATTCCCAAACACACACATAAGCATGTGCACATTTCTGACTCCGGCATCAATCATAATTTACAATCAATCCAAGATTAATCCAGCATGTTCATTCCAGCATAGCAGCGTTTGTTTTTTTTTTGTTCCTGTCCTTATAGAAAAGCATTTCCTGTGTACTCCAGGGAAAGCTAAATCAAGGCATAACTCTGAATAACTATCAAAGTTTATTTGTCCAAATGAGAGATCAACCGCACGCTGATTTATTGAATGAAGTTTAGAAAGGCTGTGGATGTTAAGCCAAACACATGGTGCGGGGAGTCAATGCTGGCATATCGCTCAGATGAGGTATTGTTTTTATATTGGTCTGTATCAAGCATTAGTCATCCACAGAGACATTGGAGAAAGATGGGGGGGAAAGAGAGCAAACAAGAATTGAATTCATGTGTGTGGGGACTGGAGTGTCTAATAACTCTAACTTCAGTCAACGGTTATAAAAAGAACAATGATGTCACGCTACCTTACAGCAAACTGCGAGAACTCGGCCTCTGAAGGAAATAAGGAAATACTTCAGGGGATATTAACTTCACTTATTATTTACACACACAATGGGTGAAACCGCACTGAATTTCCCCGGCCAAGCGTTCAATATCAAGTACAAGTTTTCACCTACATCTAAATTTGTTTGGAATTACTCAATTTCGCCACAATCTGGAAGAAATCTTGCAAAGTGAGGTTGCCAAAGATATTAGGCTAAGTGTTGTTCACGTAGCGTGCATGCAGAGGCAAGCTGTGTTGTGCAAATTTAAAGAATATCCAAACCCCTGAATCAAATTCGATGTTTTCGCCTGAACAGAAAACAGCTCGCCGTGTGATCGATTGATTTGGAAGGTTTGAAGCGTCACAAATCAGTCTAATTACGAGATTTTCATTTTACGCACCCCGTGGTCTTTGGTGGTGCAAATGCAAAACCAGATCGCTTAGCTGTTTGGATGTTTTTAAACAGAAGTGAGATTACATGAGGGCAGACAAGTCATTCTGCAGGACAAATTATCAGTAATTACAGCTCAGATGTAAGCAGGGGTATTTAGGAGTTATACTGTTTTTTTCTGTAACCTAGCCTGGGAAAAATGTTAGCGGCTTTAAACAAGTTCTCCCATAGGAGGCACATATGGCTGAAATGACTGGACTCTCAGAACTAGGCACTTATGTTTGTCTATGAGAGAGAATGAATGAGATAGAGTTCTGGTATATAACAGCGTTACCTATTAAAGCAAAGATAAGACAATTTTTGGTGACCATGTGTGCTGTAGGATCCAAAATACTAGAATATGTATGTCTCTGAAAGTGCGCTTTCTCCCGACCATCTCCTCTTTCCCACGCCGTCTCCTCCCAATTTCTTTCAGAGATTTAGAGAAGAGAAATGTCACAGCAGTTTATCACAAACCACATGAAACGACTTGCTGGCTTGCCACACTCAGCTCACACACATATACACTGCCTTTTTCTGTGGGTCCTTCTCACAGTGTTTCATGCATGCAGAATACAAACACTTACATTTTTAATTTTTCTGTTTTTTACCTAAAAAACTCAAGCACAGATGAATCCTGACCCAGTGACTGACATACGTTCCAAACTCCACTTTGGTCCTATATTTAGGAATATGAATAAACAGATGCCAATACAAGCGCAAACACTCACATGTAGCAACTCGTTTCCATTCCTTAGCGGATTTGTACTGGGAGTGTATTTTTATCTGCTGGTTTGGTTAAAACAGAGTGTGGAGGGAAGCTGCATGCAGCCAGCGGTGATTATAGTTATTAAAGTTCTCACATACACACTGATTTTAGTCGCTTATGGAAAAGGAGTGAGGGAGCCCTTGAACTTAATTAGGACAGCTGAGAGAACGTGAGCAGTCAATCTCAACTAAGTGTAGTTATTCAGATATGATAAGCCAGAAAGGTAAAAAATACAATATATACACTTTATACTTTAAAGATTTTCATACGTTTCCCAACAAGGACCTGCTCAGTGTTTGGTAATTGTAATGGTGGCCAGAGTGATTTAGCTCCCTTTTTCCTGCCCCAGAAACAAGATCATTTCTGAACAGATAAAATATCAGAACGGTTGAAATCTCCAGTGATGCACATGAAATTGGTTCAGGCTGCACACCCCTAATGCTCTACAGGCAATCTTGTTTTTAGTCAGTGTGTACATAACAAAAAACTTCTGTTACATATGAGTGAGTATTGTTTTAAGACCAGCAGTATTTCTGAAGCACTTTTTGTGCTTCAGTTTAATAGATATGATTCAAATTCGCCTGTTTGCACATCTCTAAGCAATCATGCTACTGCTTTGAAATTTCAGCTTTGGTTTTCCCAGAATTGCAAAAGTCAGCGTTCCCCAGCATTATTCAGAAAGACTTGAGAGTCTAATTTGAAATCTCTCTTTTTTTCATAGGAACAGTGACTAACTCTTTCAGTATGAGTTGCTTTACTTAGTTTCCCATCGTCGTATCCGTACCAGGTCAACATCTCGCTGTTGTGCTGCTTGTATAGTAAATGGAAGTCGTGCTGCTTGTTGCTGGCATGTCAGCTCACCATTACTCTATTATTTAACCTTGTAAATATCCAGTAATTGCAAAATCCAACTCCTTGGATAGTACACTTGCATGCTCTCTTGTTCTAAATGCCCTCATTAGGATGGGAAACTTTATTTTATAGAGACTTGTTTCCCCCTATAGCCATATACGGGCCCATTAGGTAAATATACCATTTGCTTAATTGCTACAGCATGGAACTTTTTTGTTAATGGGATTCCTTGTAAAGAAACAAATACAAGTCACAATTAGGTATTAAAGAGAGGACAGATTAAAAGACCTGATGGTACTGTATCTGGTAGATTCAACTTAATATTAGCCAACTTAGTACCTAAGAAGGAAAAAGTAAAGTGACTTAATGATGGCAACTATCTGGAAGTGCTGGTTCCTCGCATGCAGCACATATGAGGAGATAGTCAGCTTCAGAGGATTCTGCTAGAAAAATTTAGGTTAGTTTAAGCAAGCAGCTGCCTGGGTAGAGTATACAGAAGTCAGGATGCATAATTCCCAATGGCCCGCTCTAAGTTCACTAGACAATTACCCGCTCTGTTCTCGCATGGGTGCAATCAGACATTATACAGACTGTGTAAAAAGGCACTGTTTAATGTGTAATCAGACATTTGTATTCTCACATACAGCTCAAAGAAGCAACATCAAGAAGATTTCAGCAGATAACTGCAATCTGAATTATACATTTTCATACATCCTGACTGATTTAAAATAAGTTAAAGTCCTCAAATAAACTGGAGGGAATGTGAGCAAAGCCTAATGTTTTACTGACTAAAAATTTGATTGAAAAAAGGAAAGAAACTTACAGAATCCTGAGGTTCTTGAGGCCAGAAAAGTCCACTTTAGTGATTCTGGTGATGTTGTTTTTATTCAAATCCCTAGAAAGAGAAAAACAGGATAAAAATTACTTATTCAGTCAAAATTACATTCAGTTGTGAGCATAATGTAACTTTAACACAACTGTGAAAGCAAACAAGCGCCCACCAAGTGGCAGAAGGACAGGGCATGAGAATGCTCCACAGCATATAGGCCCACACACATGCATACAAGTACAAACACAAGCAAACCAAGCACCGAGAAACTTCTGTTCTGATGCACAATTATTTACTGGAAAACAAATTTTTCAATTAAAATTTTTTTTTCTCTTTCCAATGTCACAGTTTAAAAGCTTATCATGTTTCCTGACTGTCATTCAATTAGTTTTAACTACGGGCGCAAAATGTATACATACTGCAATATGAACTGACTGCCTGAGTGTGTGTGTGTGTGTGTGTGTGTGTGTGTGTGTGTGTAGGTGTAGACTGGTTCCCTTTATATGGGTTTGATGTTTATTGAAACGCTGTCGCACTGCAGGAATTAGGGCAAGGAAAAAAAACATACGCACACACAGAAAGAAAGGGCACACACAAACAACACACACACAATGTTCTCTCTTATTTCACACACAGAGCTCCTCCAAAGCTTTCACTCGCTCTCAGAACCATAGACACACACACACACACAAACAGAACTAGGTTTTGCCAACGCAGGCAGCGTGTGTGTTTTTCATAATACACCTAAACATTTATAAATCTGATTTAAGACGATATTAGGTTTCAAAAGGCTTCCTCAAGCTGACATAGCAAGGGCCACTAATAAGAGCCATTCCCCAGCTTGTGACAGGGAGGGTTGTTATAGGCCAGACCAGTCCTCCAAAGCGCAAAATGGGGTCCTTGGTCCAACAGGGTGTTCTTGAAAGGGCTCCAGAGTAATGAATAACTACAATATCTCATATGTAGCAGTGGGATGTCACAAAAATGACTGATCCAACCCGGCACGTCAGATGAAGTATAGGAAAGCTGGCTTAAATCATAAGCAACAAGAAATGAGATCCCTGTCACGTACTTGTGTTTACATTCAAAAATATGAAACACTGAAAAGGGTTTGAATGTGAATATTTTATCCAAACAATAGATCAGATGGCAATATCGCACATGATCCCACAATGTTTTCACACAACAACTTCAAATATTTTCCACAGATATTCTTTCTCATAAGTGGCACACAGCAGGAAAATGTCCATTCATACTACTAGAAAAGGGGTTTGTGTGGTTTGGGCAGGGGAGCGTTTCTAATGAAAAGTTAAAAACTCTGCAGAGAATAGTAGAAACTCTCAACTCAGTGGATTTGATTTACAATGTTTCAGTTCATTCTCACCCCTGCCCTCCGCCTCTTTTCCAGACACGCCTTTTTTCCCCACAATAATGTGTTAATAAAACACGTCAACACTTAATGGCATAAAATGAAAGTAGATGTTTAGGTGATGAATGCTTAAGAACATTTAGCACAGAAACAACCAAACTGTTTCACTCAGGTGTTGGTGAAGACCAAAATGTTACTGCGGCAATGCTGTTCATGACTACTGGAACAAAACGACCACCACATGATCAGGAAAACAAGTAATAAACAATAGTTTTGTGGGACGATATAACACTGCATGTTTAAAATAGATTTTAAATCTATCATCGTCTGTCAGATGCCCAGGGGTTTGGAAGCAACCGCTATTTTATTCACAACGTCTCTGGTTTGAGTGCAGCCCACATTTCTAGCTGAAGTTAACTTTTGCTTTCCGACAATAAACTGACATGTTGAGAAATGAGCTTGACATAAACATCCTCTGCTTAGGTATAATACTTTTGCATTAATGTATAGCTCACTAAAGCAATGAACTGAGAAAGACAAAGAAAGCAGAATGAAGTTTCACGTTGATGCCGAGTCTCAGCCATCTTAATGTTTCATGTGAGACATTCGAGACACCAGATAACATTTTGACAGTGAGCTGCTTCACTATCCAGACTATAAGCTGCTGGTTCTTGTCACAAGCTTTCCAAGTGTTTGGCTTTGCCAGTTCCTTGAAATGCAAGGCACTGACAATTACTTGATAAGCCTTCTTGGGGTTTGATTTATTAATTTGAACATGAGGAAAGAGTTGATTTGCTTCAGAAATAAACTGTTTTTCTTGTTCATGTTTGTTACTCTACCACACTTATAGTCTAGCTGTACAGAAGGTGAGAGGTTTTCACCCTACCCCTGCGAAGATATTGACTGCGCATCATTGGAAGCGGATGACATAAGTATCTGACAAATGTTTACAGGTTGACAAGTGGGCTGGAATAGAGAAGAGGGTAACAGTGAGGTTCACTGGGAATGGGAGGCTGGCTGATGGACCAACAACAGCACAAGTAAGAGTAGCCTACAGACTGGGTGTACCACATGCTTTTTACACTGCCTCCAGATGGGCATCCCCTGAGTGGAAAGGACAGCGAATGCACTACCACTGCTTGACCATAAATCTGGCTGTACCCTCTGCTATCTCCCCTTATCTTTCAGACAGTAAGATAAGACCAGCCTAAGTGACAAGTGGCATGGGTTGATGGACCACACTAGCTGCCACTTTCCTGTCACCTGAGAACAGGAAACCGTGACTAAAATTCTCACACGGGTTAATCTTATTCTACTAATGGTTCGGACTGCTGATGGTTGTGTAATGACATGGGAGTAATGTGCTTGACCATTCCTGTCCCTCCCTTTATGATCCATCTCTGATGGCTGATTCCAGCAAGTCAAACAGGTGCACCAAACATGTTCTTATCAGTAAAACTGTTTTTCTCTTGAATCATCTCAAACTAATTTCTTGAACATGACATTAAGTTGACCGTACACAAATGGACTCCACACTCACCCGCACCTTGTTGAATGTATGGCATGAAGAGCAAAGGTAGCTCGGAAGGCAAAAAGAGATCCACCACCATAATGAAAAAGCGTACCTAATGAAGTGTTTAGTGGATGTGTAGCTTACCCTTGGTTACAATCTTTCAGTTTTCTATTTACGCTCCATCCTCCTCCTCATCTATCTCAAATCTCTCTTTGATCATTGCTCTCTAATGTCCGTCTGTCAGTCTCTCACAGCCAGCTTTACCCAGCGTTCCCAGCCTTACTCTCCACTTTTCTTCTTCTTCTCAGTAATCTCCCTCTCGTCTCTCCCTGTCTCGATCTTTCACGTCTTATCTTTCACTGTTTCACAGTTGACTAAACACTTTTTCTTCACCTTCATCTGTTTTTCCTCTCCATCCCTAATCTCTCCTCTTTTATCTCAATCTCTCACTGTTTTACACTTGGCTACAATTTTCCTACCCTTATTTTCTTTTTTCTCTCTCTCTAATCTCTCAAACCTTATCTCCATCTTTCTTATGTTCACAGTGGAAACTTCTGCTCTTACTAAGGAGATTGCTTTGCAGTTAAGCAATTATTGAGTATACAGTTCCAGGTACAGCACAATGGCAGAATCCCATCAAACCTCGCTGCCTAAAAACTGTGGAGTCTACATCGCTGCCATGAAAACACACAGACAAGTGGCATGAAATTAAGTGAAAATCTTGGATGCACAGCACACTGCTTGGCAGTGATGTCATCGGAAAAAGCTGTCAAAAAAAAAGCACAGCATTGTTAGGAGGTAAGAAAACCAGTCATACCTAGCATAATATAAATAAACAACAATTCCCTCTTTTATAAAAGAATTCTGTTCATTATAACTAAATGGTGCTACTGGTACACTTCAGAAATAATAAATAAAATGCACTACCCACAGTATTTTTACATGAGTTAGTAAATCTATTCACTTAACTCCTTGGAATAAGTAAATGTGTGCACAGAGAACTCATTACGAGCAAAGCAAAGACAGCTGATGGGGCTGCCATTCTCATGCACCTGGTCTGTTAAAGCTTAGGTGTACAGCCCACCTGGCAGTAAAGCTTAACTTAGCATCAAATGTTAACTGACCAGCATTCAGACTACTAATGAAATACGTTAGCACAAAAGCCCTAACCGTTGTTTCCATTACAGGCAGAAGTAAGCCGTGCAAGCATGTGTGTGTTTGCGACTAGGGGATAAGACAAGAATGCAAACAGCAGGTGTCCAGGGAATTAATATCCCATTCAACAAAGACATGCACACACAGGCAGAGACAGCCCGCACCACATCTCACTCTAGACCACTGAGAAGTGAACTTTGCAGTCTGGCTGCCTTAGAGTGACACACGGGGTTGACTTTACGGTGACAAATGCATAGTGTGTGTGAGGTGGAGGTGGCAGCAGGACTGATTTGCCTTCAGGACAATATTATTGGTTGGCTACACCATTGGCAAGAGAGAGAACTTTTAGAAAGGAATGTTAAACGATAAATATCAGGTGACTTCAAATATACTAATAAATGAAAAACACGCCACTGTGGTAAAAGATTATCAGAGTTCAGTGTTGAGCTTAAATGTTTTGACATGTCTGCTTGTTGGCTAATTAGCTGTGCTTCTTTTTCTCACCTTGACCCTGTATCTCTGTCTGTCTGGTTTTTGTTTTCTTGAACTCTGTCCTCTTTTTCCCCTCTATCAGGGACAATAGGGAATAAAGATAAAGCACTGAAGTTTCCTCTCTCTGTTTTATCAGTCTCGGACACTGTGACATTTCCTCTTTCCCCTTTTTTCCTCTCCCTTCATTCTTTCACTCACTTTCATCCTTTGTTGACCTCTATCCCACACCTCATTTCCAAATGCATTCACTTCCTGTGCTAATCTCATGTTATTTTCCAAAAGCTCTTGTGCCGCTTCACTTTCTCATTCCTCCATTTTTACTCTCCGTCCTTCTCACTCATAGATAGATGTGCTCAATTTCATTCTCTAAATCTATCACTTACACAAGGAATCCTAATTGCTCTCTTCCTTTTCCTCTAAGCTCTGTGCTCGCCAGGTGTCATGCTGCTTTGAAATTGGCTCTGCTATAGCTGAAATCCATCCACTGCAAATGTTTAGATATTACATTTGGCCAATGCAAACTAAGGCAGCTTTAAG